TGATTTACACATGTAGCACTATTAATTATTGCTGTGTACCACTAGGACTATATGTGTACATGTGCACTACTCTCATATTTTAAACCCATCCTGCTTGTGGAAAAATCTTAGAAGAGTTTAAGTAATTGATAGAAAGAGGTACAAATAGTCAGAAATTAAAATGAAAAATAGACTTTTGTTAGGAAAGTCAGGCAACAGTGTGAGAAACAAAGGCAATATTGCTGTTCATCTGTCTGCAGGATGCTGCTGTTTAGATCTCCAGCAACCCCCAGAGGCTTGCAGAAAAATTTTCCATGTGCTCAGTGACCATCATGTAGTTGTTCTGTCTGAACAGATGCAGCTGTGGTGACTTTTTCCCAACAGCTGGGAATTATTTTGTAGTGAAGAAATCTGAATTTTTCATTAAGTCAAAGGTGTACTAATTTCCAGTGGTTAATTACTCCCACCTCAAATTGTAATAGTTAAAAACCCTAAAAATTTCATGTTTCTAAGTGAAGATGCATCTTGGCAAACGTCAAAAAATAAGCTTCAGAGGGAGACTGTTACAGGATTACACACATGCCGGGATAGAACTGACAGTTCTTGTAGGCTCAGAGGTCCAGACTGGCCATGGCTTTTTTTAGCAGTCCTCAGAATCTGCATCAGCTTTTCTCACAGGATTCATCAGAGTGCAAAACTCAGGATTAGATTTGATCATCTTCAAATGAAAGGGGCCAGTGAGGAGCCAGCCCTAGCATTAAACTGTTATTTTACCCAAAGTGTAAACTGTGTTTCTTCTGAGTTGCAGCAAACAAATAATCAGGAAGTATTTTCTGTTCCTGGTGGTAAAATACTGTGAAAATACTGGTTTAGCCAAGTATGGAAATCTCATTATGCCCACAGCCATGTGTGAGAAGGAGGAGAAAGCTGTCAGTCCATGTCATTTCAGCAGTGGTAAAGGAAATACTTCCTTGACGTGCCTTCAGATCCACAGCATCACAAATCACACAAGGGCAGAGGGGCAGTTCAAAGACCTCCCAGTCAGGATGTCAGTGCTGAACTCACACTATGCCTTGAGTTATGGCAGCAGCAGAGCCTGGGCAGGCAGAGCTGCTCCTTCAGAGCCACAGCAGTGAGAAAATGCACTTGGGGCACATGAGAGGATCATCAAGAGTGATCTTTTAACCAAACTGCTTCCATGGACTCACAGAAATTTTTTTGCAATTTCTTTCTGTGATGCCCCTATTAGGGCTGAAGAGCAGGAGACTATTTCAAGTGTTTTTTGAGAGAAGCAGATAGTCATTTGAAGTTGATGAAATCTTGAAATAGACATTAAAAAACCCTTGAGGAGGTCTGCTGTCATAGAAGTTACGAAGATCAAACAAATAAAAATATGTTAAGCCATTGCAACCTTTTAGAAACCAATTTTAAAAAGCTCATTTTCTCTAATGTCCTGGTAAAGGTAGTTGAAATATATGTATATGTATTTATTAATCTGAAGTGGTTTACAGTTTAACTGCCTTACTACTTGCTTAACTTTTGAGGGCCAAAGTTTCCCTTGCAAAGCTGAAAGAGAAATTAATGCTTATGTTCAAGTTTGAAGTTAAAGATTTTTCCTCAAGCACCATATTGCAGAACTTGAAACATTGGTAAAGGAAGAAATTGTAAATTTTCCTTCTTTATCCAGCCTTGCCTCATTTTCGCTATCTCTTGGGGGTTTTTTGTTAGTTTCTGGTGTTCTTTTGATCACAGTCTCTCACCTGTTCCAGTGGCTCACCACTTTGACACAGAAAATAATTTCTTCTCTATATCTAGCCTGAGTTGATTCTCTTTCAGTTTAAAACCATTCCTCCTTGTCCTGCCACTACTTAACCTTGTAAAAAATCCCTCTCCAGCTTTCTTGTGGGGCCTCTTCAGGTACTGGAAGGAGCTAAAGGTCTCCCTAGAGCTTTCTCTTTTCCAGGCTGAACAATCCCAATTCTCTCAGTCTGTCCTTGGAGCAGAGGTGCTCCATCCTTCTAATCATCTTTATGGCCTCCTATGCTGGCTCCAGCAGCTCCGTGTCCCTCCTGTGCAGGGACCCCAGCTCTGGATGCTCCAGCTGGGTCTCAGCAGAGCAGAGCAGAGGGGCAGAATCCCCTCCCTCCCCTGCTGCCCACGGGGCTCTGATGCAGCCCAGGACACGTTTGGCTTACTTTTCCAGGGGTTTCCTTGATTCCTAAAAATGCTTAACATTCCCGAGCAAATGTTTGTTTACACTTTGCATAGAATACATGTTTAGAAACATAACTTTGTTTTAACTTTGGATTAGTGGCCAGCATGGGAAATCTTCAAAGTTGCCTCTTTGGGAAAATAATCAGAAAAGTGAAGAATAACATTGCCAGATACAAACAAAATCCTCGTTGTTCAGTTACAGTGTCTGTTCTGCTCAATGTATTTGTCAACAGTCTGGATGCAGCAGGTGAATGCACCAGTAGCAAATTTGCTGATGATCCAGACTGGGAGGTGCTGTGGATTCTTTTGAAAGACAAGAGGCCTTTGCAGAGGGATTTAGATAGGTTGGAGCACTGGGCAGTCTTAAATGGGGTGAAATTTGACAAGTCCAGGTGCTGTATTCTGCACCTGGGATGGAGTAACACCAGGCACAGGGGTAAAGTGGGAGAGGAGTGGTGGGACAGCTGCAGAGGGAGGTGGGGCTGGCTGGTGCCAGGCTCAGTGTGGCTCAGCAGTGCCTGGGCAGCCCTGAGGAAACCTCATCCCAGAGCCCCGAGCACAAACCCCATCCCAGAGCACCAAGCACAAACCCCATCCCAGAGCACCGAGCACAAACCCCATCCCAGAGCCCTGAGCACAAACCCCATCCCAGAGCCCTGAGCACAAACCCCATCCCAGAGCCCCGAGCACGGCACAGCCGGCCCAGAGAGGGGATGGTCCCGCTGGGCTCAGCCTTGGAGCGGCCTCAACCTGGGTCCTGCTGGGCCCTGCAGATGGAAGAGGATGGGAAGATGTTGTAATATGTTTATTTAATTCTGTTAAAATTGTTGGTATTTTGACTGATTGGTATGTTCTGGGTTTTCCCCCATTGATTGCTTTGGCTGGTTCCAGTGTCTGTCATGTAAACCCTCCTAGTTTTCTTGAATGTTCCTCATCAATCACCTTAACAGTGTCCCATCTCCCCATCCATAAACCCCACCTCTCCTTCCAGACCCTTCCTTGTATGTCATCCATTCCTCGATACTTTATTGGTTGATGTGTTACATTCCCGCCTTCTTTGTATCCCCATTGATCCCTGACATTGTAACCTCCTCCCCTTCTTCTTTGTATCCCCATTGATCCCTGACATTGTAACCTCCTCCCCTTACCCCTCCCTCCATGAGCTCCCATTGGACCCTGGACTGTGCCCACCCCTGAGATAAAATCCAGTGCACAGAGGTGCCCAGGGCTCTCTTCGGTCCTGCATTCTCCCAGCCCAGTCCCTTGTGCTCATCCCCTCTCCCGAATAAACCTGTTCCTGGGAAGTACAGCCGAGTGAGTCTCCTCCATAATCCCTTTGCCACCCCCCATGACACCTGATCTGGCAGAGCCCGGCAGGATTCGGTGCTCTGAAGGTTCTGCAGTGGGATCGCCTTTCCCCTGCAGTTCCCCACTCCTGGCGACTGCCCGTGCCGGAGTGGCACCACAGAGCTAGCCCAGAGCTCCAGTGTGGCCAAGAGCAGCATCAGGAAGGTCCTTCAGTGTATCCTGAAGAAGGAAACAAAGCTGGAACCTCCTGTGAGGAGCAGCTGAAGTCTTTGGGCTTGTCCACTTTGGAGAAAAGGAGGCTGAGGGGTGACCTCACTGCTCTCTGCAGCTTCATGAGGAGGGGAAGGGCACCGGGAGGTGCTGAGCTCTTCTCCCTGGCCTCCAGGGGCAGGATGCATGGGAATGGTTCAGAGCTGAAGCAGGGGAGGTTCAGACTGGATACCGGGGGCATTTCCTTACCAAAAGGGTTGTGGGTGGTCAGATAGAACAGGCGTCCTGGAGACGTGGTTGATGCCCCAAATCTGTCAGTGTTCAAGAGGCATTTGGACAGTACCATTAGCAATAGCAATTTAACTTTGGTCAAACCTTTCTGCTAATCCAAAGTGTTCTTTGGGTTAGCAAAAAGGTCTTTGGAAGTGGCAGTTGGATTAGATGATTGTTGTAGGTCCCTTCCAACCATAGCAGTTTGTTTTGTTCTGTTCTATTCGAGTCTATACCATACCATAGTCACTATGTAAGAAACCTCACTTTAAACATGAAAAGCTTATTTTCTTCTTACACAGAAACATGTAAAAGTACAAATTCTCTTTTGAATTTTAAACTTGCTGATCTGCATGTGCATATTACCAATTAGATACAGGATGACCCAGAGACTTCTCAGCTATGTTTGAGTTTGTGGCTCTCTCTGTCAGCTCTGTAGCTGAAGCAGGACTAGTGCTCCAACAGGGTGCCAGCAGGAAGCCTGCTGTTGTCATTCCCTGCAGGACACCTTGGCTGTAGCTCCTTAGGGCTGGCAGTGCAGCAGGACCATGGATGCACCTGACACAACCAGGATGGTGCCATGGCAACCATCATTAAAAGCTGCTGCCTGAGGCTGTTGCCATGGACACTTGCACTGAGATGTTGCTGGGGCGGGGTTCTGTGACAACCAGCCACTGCCACTACTTTTTAGGAATCTCATCCAAACAGACCTAAACTTCCTCTAGCACTCTAATAGCATAACATTTCCATATGAGCGAAAGATTGGGAAGCTTCACAGATTAAGCATACGATTATTTTCTTTGGATTAAATAATACATAGAGCCTGTGCTCCGTATGTCATGCATTTTACATTTTAATATGTTTGGATCTTTGTTTTCTGTGGTGTTTTCTGTCAGAAAGCTTTAAAAATTCTAAAGCAACTTATTTCAGGAAAAAAATTCTTGCAGGAAGTTTAAAAAAACAACAACAAAGCAAAAGTAGAAGTAAAACCAAAAGCAAAACTAAAAACACCCCACCAATCAACCCCAAAACGAGATAATTGAGACAACACCCAACACCAAATTAAACCAAAAAAGTACAAGAACTGAACTAAGAAAATGAAAAAGACAAAGTTATAAAAGCAAGAGCATACTGCTTCGATTATTTTGGTTCTTTAATATGAAATCTTGCTTGCTAAGGGACTCAGAGAGTAATAAGGTCAATGGTACTTACCACTGACTGACATGACTTCACCAGAAGCTGTCTCTAAGCCAGAGCTCCGACTGAGATACTTAGAGATTACCAACAAGATGTCAAATTCTGTGAAAAGAAAGATTAAGATGAACAAGGCTGGAATTTATGTTTTCTCTTCAAAACCACTGGCCAGTGAAGAAAGAGAAATAGTTGGGTTTCAAGAAGAATGTACAAGGTAAGGCAAGGGAACTTTCCTTTTGGGCTCCCTGACTCCTCAAAGCCACACTCACACCTTCTGAAGATGGAAGCGAGTGTCTTCAGCTGTGGAATTTTAAGGATCCTACATAGACTTCAAGAAATGATGTGTGCCATTGGAATGTGAACACAAGATAAATTGGCACTACAATTTGTAATACTTTGTAGGAAAAAGGAACTTCACTACTACCCAAACAATAAATACAACCCTAAAACTTGCTTTTGAAAAAATGTCAATTTGAGATTACACACAGGAGATAAAGCACTCAAAAACTACCCTGAGCCTCATCTGAGAATTTTTCAAATACACTAAAATAAGGGAAAGACTTTTTTCTTTTTCTGATATAGAAAGACACAAGTAATAGATGAAAGGAAAGTTCAAAAAGTACTTAAATTTGAGGAGGGCCTGCTGAGAGTAATACATGCCTTGTATGTAACCTATCATATATATAATTCTATATAATGATGTATTATGTACACCCTCCTACAAATATCTAGTATGACATTATAAGAAGTGGCTGGGGTGGGTTTCCCAGCCAAGACTTAAAGTTATGAAAAAACTCTGTGTAGAAGCCTGTACATGGCTGGTCTGGAAAGTTTGGTCTAGATGACTCGAAGGCACAGACTTCACAACTTCTGCGCTGATTATTTCATGTGGATTTCAACACGAAGGAAAGGAAAGGAATCCTCTCTCTCTTGAGTGGAGCAACAGCAGTACTTTTGGACAGCAAATAAAAAGCCTTGATGAGGAGTGATCCAAATCACACAGAACTTACATTACTCTGTCCTGCAGGTTTGTCAGTAGAGATGGAACTGCAGAGACTCATTGCACAGGTCATGTTCAAGGCTGACCTTGAATCAGAACATCCACCTCCACATGAGACTATTCAAAATAAAAAAGCTCTTATAAATAAGAAACAAATAGCTTTTCTTAAGGAATCATCATACTTCTTTGTCTGTGCTCACAGCATACATTTAGTCTAAGCAGGAAACCCACTCCTCTCCCTCTGTCTCCCTCTACACATGTATTTCTGGCTTTCAGGAATTTAAGTGCAGTGAAGGAGAAATTTCTGTGCAATCATGAATACTAACAAGAGAACAAAACATGCAAAATAAGAGACTGAAAGGAGACTTGCTTGAAGGAAATAGAAGTCTTCAGTCTGTGCTTGTGAAGTCAAAATGAAAAGCAGATGGCCCCCTATATGGTTTCTTAAAAATAAATTACACATGGTGAAAAAATGGGGCTGTTTCCAGCAAATGTAGCATTTTATAGCTGGGAAGAGAAATACAAATAAGGGATAGGTAAAACAAATTCAGAAGCCCTCTTGGGAAAAGGGAAGGAGGAAGTGCATTGAAAGTGAGCTGCTGGACAAAGAGTGTGTGGAGTGAGTGCAGCCAGCACCAGCAGGGACCCGCCCAGCACAGCTCGGCGCTGGTGACCGCAGCTGCCGAGAGGCAGAGGCTGCACTGCAGGCACAGCTGCAACACCCTGTTAATGACCAGTCCCCAGGAAAGCGGGGCTGAAATCAGATAAATCACCTTTTAGATTTTAGGAAGTAGGATCTTGTTTCAAACTATAAATATGAGCCCTTCAACGCAGCTGCACAAGGAACAGTGATGGAGAAAAGCTCCTTCGAAGCCCAACCAGATTGCTTTAAAGGAGAAGCCGCTGAAATAATGAGTAACGCGGGTCACTCAGTGCCAGACACCGCAGCTGGGACAGGCAGCCGCTGTTGATGTCCCGCTGTAACTCCAGTGCAGGGAGTCCCTCCCCTGGGATGGTTGCCAAGGGCACAGCGCACCCTTGGGCCGCCACCCTGCTGCTGTTGGTGGCCTGAGCCAGTTCAGCTCCTCGCAGGATAAACCCTCCCCTGCCCCGCCCGTGGCCCCGAACCAGCCCGCAGGGCAAGGAGTGGCTGGAGGGTATCTGACCTCACTGTCTGGGTAGCTGTGAGTAGTGCATGCAGCTCCACCGCCCCTGAATAACGCAGAAATTAGAAATGTTGTAATTATGTCTGAAGGGGTGAACATAGACTGGCAAGAAGTCTCCCAGAATAATCCAAAAATGCGTTCCCTGGATGATTTACAGGTGCCCACACATAATTTGAGCACGGTGAGCACAGTGAGAAAGGGATCAACGAAGTGTGTGCACATTCTAGGATTAAAAACTTGCAAGTTTCATTTTGGAAGGGTTAAAACTGAACTCTTAAAACATTTATTTTAAATAAATGAAATATGAAAATACTATGAACTTATTTGCATATAACAACAACACTTTAATATTTAGTCAAGGAACCATGAGATCTAAAAACTTGCTACTTACATTAAGAACTCACCCTTTACAACTCAGAACTTCAATGATACGATGACAAATCTCTGACAGATATGGAAACGCTCATACGATCATGGTGTGGCTCTTTGGTGAGTGGAGGAACACTAGGATGTAGGAATTGTGGCTTGCACTCCTGCTATGGATAGGGCATGAGAGTTCAGGAGTGCTGGGACATAGGAAAAGGTGTTGGAATTCAGCGTCACCACCATCTACCTGGGGCTCAGAGTCAAGGCAAAGGATCAGCTGAACTCATCCATTCGTTTCCCTGGAGTATCACCAACACACGCATTTGGCAGAATGTCCTGCTGTTAACGAGCACCAGATGAGCCAGACCTGATTAAAAACTTTTTTTTGACGTGAGCCACAATCACATTTAAGATCTATTTTAGGGCTGCAAAGTAGTTAGAGCTACTGTTTAGCACAACCTAAATATTCCACTGTAATAATATTCTTACTAGTGACACCACAACAGCAAAACAAAGGCTAAAGTTTGACTCAAAGTTTTAAAAATTTAAATAGCTGGTTTTTGTAATGGCCACATCTCACTAAAATACTTATGTTGAGTTTTTCTCATGCCTACTTTGTACATGTTAGAGTTGTTAATATAAGCAATAAAGAACCTCAAAAATACAAAAGGGTGTTACTGAATCATTTAAAAAAATACTTGTAATTACAGTTCTGTCAAAAACTATTGTGATCTTGAAAATATTCAAGAATTATTCTGCAATTTTACAGTACTGAAGTGGAAGCTTAAAAATAATAATTTCATTCTTATTTAGACTGTGGAAATGTCTGTGTTTTCTTAAAAAAGTACATTATAGCTAGTGCTAATTCTAAAAGCTTGATAATACCCCTTTGCAACAAGTTCCATGTACAGATCCTGTACTCAAAGGGAGAAAGCAGGAAGAATAAAAATTTCAATAATCTTATAGTTACATATGTAAAAATCTATAGCCATACAGTGAAAAAATACTACAAAGCTATGTCAATACAAAGGAGCAAAATTGTGTCACTGGATCAATTACTGCACTGCAGCACTTAAACAAAACCCAAAACAAAACCAAACACTTTCTCATGTAGAAAAATCCTTATCTTGGAATGTGCTGTTGCTACTGATGTGGTTCATGCTGGTAAAACTGCAGTTGCTACTCAGAGGTTGAGACTGGGCACTCACTCCATGCTGCAGACAACCATCAGACCAAGTCACACACAGCTAACTGGAGTTTGTTTTCCAAAACAGGGCATTGCTGCCTTTTCCTTTCACAGCAAATAACCAGAGTACTTGTGATTGGCAAAACCGGACTAGGTATTACTCTGTGTACTTTGGGAGGGTAAAATGCAACTCTTAACTAGTAAGAATCATATTCAATTTATTTAATCATCTATAATCAACTTTATAACTGTAAATTATATAACAGCCATCACATCCCATCAAGGAGCATGTATGCCACTGGCATATCATACAATATAGTAATGGTCTAAATCCTCTCAACTAAGACAACTTAAGACTTCAGGTTTATATTGTTTAATTATAAGTTCTTTCTGATAATTTTATTCCAATAAATACCAAGCAAATTGAAATAATCCCCCATCTTTGTTATTGGAAAAGTCACATGAGATCAACAAGGAAATATCTGTATTATCTATTAAAAATAAAATGCTTTAATATCAGAAATTACTAACAGCCAACTTAATTTTAAACTGCAACTGTATGAAATCCTTGGGTTTATCACTTGGGAGTTTCTTGGTGAAATATTTTCAACTCTGCTTATCAGTAATATCTGACATGTCATATAGCCCCTCTAGTCTCCAAGTATGACTTTACCAGTATAAAAGCTGCACTTGGCCCTGAGAAATATAGTCTTTCAATGTTTGCTACAAAAATGTCCTGTTTCCAGAGCAGCAGAGGACTGACTCCTGCTTCTTCTACTCCCTCCTTTAACAATACTGATCTTAGCCCAAGAGGTGGCTTTTGTATGGTGAAGAGAATACTATCAACACTACCAAACAAAGAGGTGCTAAAACATTTCTGTTCAGAGAAATTCCAGTGGTGAAACAGCAAAAAGGCATTCCCCAACAATTTACTACCTGGATTCTGAGGAGTTATTAATAATTTGTTTAATGTGTTGTTTGGGTTTTTTACATATCAATATTTTGGAACACTGTTACTATTCCTCACAAATTGAATAATGTATTAGAATTCTGCAAGTTAGTTTCATAGAAACAGCCCCCTACCATATATTAAATTTTTAAAAGAAACAAAACATAATAGAAAAATAATTATGTTGAGGAACACCTGTTTTTGATAAATACATTTAAAAAGACAGCAGGGTTTAACAGACTCCTAAAAAATTTAGCTGTTTTTAGATTTTTTCCTGTTTGCAAATATGCTGCTTTTCTTGCTCTCTAGGAAGACAAACTGCTTATGAAAGGTTGTGGCAAGGCCGTCGAAGCAAATACTTCTGGAAGATTTCAACAGCATTTTTTCAATTTACAAAATGTGATAACATCTTTCAATTAGTAAAAAAATTAGTCTAATATACAAACATTTTTAAAAAAATTCATTTGTGAAGGAATGTAGTGTAATTGCCCAGACTCATATCCATTCACTCCTCAGACAATGGCAGCTAGCTCCTCTTGACACAAGCCTCTCTATATTAACCCAGTGAAATGCATACATGGCCAGTTTGCCCAAGCAGAAGAGACATTCAGCTTTCCCCAAATTTGAACTATCGTAAGTTACCACTTGGACAGCATTAGAAAGAAATTGAAGCATACAAGGAATAAACTATAGTTTCTTTTTATATCAAAATGTACTCTTGAAAATGTGTTTGGCACAGTGCTAAATCATATAGTTAATACTAAATATTGCAGGATACAATAAAACCCTAGCGTTAACTTGTGTTTACACCCTTTTAGGGATAAAAATAAAAAGATACCAATTATTCAGAAGTCAGCCTATACAAACTGTATAAACAATATTTTATGTCTTGTTTTGAAAACCACTGATATAGTAAATTTTACATAAAAGACTGCAAAATAATATAAATGGATTTAAACAGATCTTTACAATAAGAAATTCAAATGGAAACAGACAAGTAACAAAGAGAAGTAAAAAAATTTATTGCAGTATTCGTTCCACCAGATTTGCTGGGGATCCCTTTTCTTGTATTATTTCAGGGTGACCTAATACATCAAAATCTACATTTACAAAAACTCCTCCTGCAGATAGGTCATAGATACTGCATGCTTTTTTTTCTTTCTTTTTTTTTTTTTTTCTTCAACAGAATAAATTATATATCCAGGAGATTCTGCCACTTTACAGCCTGGAAAAACAATGCTTTCCTGGAAACTGGGCTAAGCTAAAGAAAGCCATCCGCTGCTAGGTTAAACTCCAAGAACACTTTATTAAGAACATTAACAGACTAATTTCCAACATTCACTTGTTTATTTTTTTTAAACAGAAAGGTTTTTTTTCAAGATATAAACAATTTTTTGTTAAACTATAATACAGTGGGAGTAAAAATGAACTGAGAAGTTTCTGCTGCACAACAGCGAAGGAAGCTCCCACAAAAATGTTTACCAAACATTTCCTTCTTTTTTCCCCACGTCCCAGGTTCCATTCTTACTCTTCATTTAACTGATTTTTTTTTTTGCCAGAAAGTTGATATTTCAAGTTTTTCTGTTATTTCAATTCCTGTAAATTTGGCTGCATGTACAAATTCATTAGCTGGAAGTTCCATCCTTGGCGGCATACAGCGATCGTAAAGTCTGCACAACTTTATTAGTCAGCTTATTAGCACTCGTTAGAGCAATTTTTTTGTAAATAATGTCTGACTCTTTAATAGTGTCTACCCAAGGCACCAGTTTGCGGCCATCACGGCGCTTAGCCTCAGTCCAGGAGCCACTGTAGGAGCCTGCCATCCACTGAACACTGAAGCCATTGCTGGTTTTCTGTACTACTCTTGCAATTTGTGGTCGGTCTTTGTACTTTGGACAGCAAATAGCGATGACATCCATGACATCAACACTTTCATTCATCTGTGCTGCCAACTCCGTAGAGTCTGAATTTCGTTTTGACCTTCTCAATGACTAAAACATTGGGGGGAAAAAAGACCAAGTGTTACACAAAAGAACTTTAGTGAAATTATTGCTTTTATTGCTTTTAATCCCTTGACGCCGGGAGTTGGGATTCCCCGGCACACATTCCATTGCCGGCAATGAGACGCACCGCGACCGCCAGCGCCAAGGGGTTAACATATCCTTGTAAAACCACATACTCTTAATTTGTACCCGTGTCTTTATCTCTTATTGATATATAAAATTATATATACACATGAATCATAAAGCTACATAAAAACTTGGCAACAATAAAAAGGATAACACACAGTACATTCCAAAGGAAAATTAATAACTTTTTATA